TTATGTAGGTTGCTAAAAGCAAGAGATTTCCTGGAATCTGGAATTAACTGGAAATCCAGAGGATGAGCAAAAGCATTTTTGTTAACAGCCATATTCCCAGAGCTGTGGCAAACGTGATCAGTTCCTACCAGTGAAGGTTTATAATTCTGAGGAAGGGGGAAGTCCCTGGGGGCTAAAGGAAATTCATTTCTATCAAGAGCATTTCTACAATTCCATCTATGTAATTGTAGAGCCATGTATGGGAGGAGTTTGGTCTAAACATTATATAGGTACATAACAGATGGAAATAACAATGAATTGCTTCAAATGACTTTGGAAAAGAAATCTCAAGTAATTTGAGATGAAATGTTTGTTTCACTTAAAATATCCTAAACTTTAAGGTCTTCCAGATTGTGAAATAGCTCTTCTTAAGAATACGTAGAAGCCCAATCTTTAAATCAGTAAAAGTTAAAAAGGTCCTGCAAACTAATGTAAAGTGTTAATAACACGGGAAATGGAATGGGAAGTACATGAGGACTCTCTCACACTATCTTCTCAATTTTTCTGTAAATCTAAAACTGTTCTAAAAAATAAAGAAATGAAGTCTATTTTTCAAAAAATCATGCAAATAATATGCACTAATATGGATCAACTGGCAAGGGAGACAGGCAGAGTTAATACTGAAAATATTTAACAACTGGAATTGCACAGGTACCAACCCATCAGAATGGTTGCTTGTCATGCATCCAGCTGTACTGGTGGGTAGCAACTGAATATCAGTTCTGGAAAAAAGCAAAGTGCAAAGCAGGGGTTTCCATTTGTGCAAAAGGTGGAGAGAGGAAGGATGGATATGTGTGTGTGTGTTTCTTTATATATATTCACATATGTATAGCTTAGAAATATACATAAGAAACTAACAACAGTGGTTGCATCTAGCGAGGAACTGGGTAAGTTCACCATGTAATTTATTGTTTAAAGCAGGACAATTTTGAGAGTAAAAGGGAGCATTATTAATAATTATTCCAGAACAACAGGCATGAACTCGTCCCGTACTGGTAAGTCAGGACACATGATCCTCCTAGAGCTGGGGCACTAGGGCTTGGAGGTTCAGGGTTGGAGCTGGCCTACTTTTCACTCTATCATACAACGATGCATTGCTCCTACTCTCTTTTATTTTTTTAAAGTAAAAGAGCCCTAGAAAATGGAAGAGAGATTCAATCTACAGTGAAATCAGGATAGGGGAATGTCAAAATTTTTTAAATCATTTTTGCCTTTCTATCGTTATCATTAAGGAAGAAATCTAGCTATTATTGTTAAGATTAAGGGCGAATCTGGGTGTTGAAAATTTTATCTAATAAACTTATTCACAATGATAACAACCAAACAACCTCTAAAGCTAAACAGTATAAGTGATTAAAGAGTTGTCGAGTTTGGGCTATTGTTTGCTGGATATATTAGTAAGCTCAATAGCTGTTACTATTTCTTCCAAGTGTCCTACTTGGGAACCTGTCGTTCTTTCTTTCCCTATTTTTCAACATCCAGTAAAAAGTTTGAGAATGTGGGTAAATCAAACTCCAACATAGTAACTCTATTATGTTGTCCAGCGTATGTTTGTTTCAGTCACGTTGATTTAAGATTAAGACATAACATTAATCACTGTAACTTCAGAATTTGGTCACCTGGCAAAAATGATGTCACGTGACTAGTGGATTAGAGAAAACAATGATGGCAGATAATCATTGGATGTATGTTACATGCAAGTCTTGATCTAAGAACTTTACATGCATTAACCCATTTAATCCTAATTTAAAAACAAAACCCTGTGAGAAATAGGTAGTGTTATTTTCATTTTACAGATGAAGAACACTGAGTCTCAGAGAGGTTAATTAACTTGGTAGATCACATGGCTAGTAAGAGGCAAAGTCAAGGCTTGAACCCAAGTCAATAATCCCAGAGCCTGTGCATTAACCACAACGCTGCACTGCCTTTTGGGTCTGGGTTGGCAGCTAAGAGACTTGAGTTCCAATTCCAAATTGACTACTTCCATATTTTCTAAACTAAAACCAGGACGTGAAGTTTGACAATGGGTCAGTGTATTTCCTGGGTTTCCCCCATGAAATCAAAGATGCAAAGTTGCTGTAACTGAGTAGGATGTCATTTAAATTCTTTGGTTTCTGTTTCCTCACCAACACAAAGAGAGAGGCAGACTAGAGGACTTCTAAAGCTTTACTTGCTTTATAGAAATAGGAAAACCTCCTATGTTCCAGGAACTCTTTCAAGTGCCTTACAAATATTAATTTGTTTAATCTCCTAACAGCCTATGACACATTATTCCCATGACAAAGGTGAGCAAACTGAGGCCAAGAGAACTTATATCTGTTGCCCTAGGCTAAATAGCTAGAAAGATTCAAACCCAGGCAGTCTGGCTCCCCAGTCTGTGTTCTTAATCACTCTGCTGTGCAGCCTCTTATTGTAAATCTAGAAGAAATTGTAGATGTAGAATAAAAATTACAAAATACAGAGCAAGTCTAGAATAAAAGATTTCTTCCCCGGAGACAGACTGTCTTCCAGGTGGGGAGCAAATTTTTGTGTTGATACTTCTTTATGTGTCTTAAGGTTTGGAGTCCTCTGTGGCTATGATCTCCCTGGAGGCACAGGGCAGGACCCATCTTCTCCTTTTCCCTCCGCCAACACCCAAACTCTACCTGGTTCAGTGTCTTCCTGCCTGTTGCCTTCAGGGATTGCTTGAAGATTTGAGGAAATCATAGGAATAAAAAAGTGGTCTAGGGTGGCCAGCCCAGTGGCGCAGTGGTTAAGTTCATGTGCTCCGCTTCCCCGGCCCGGGGTTTGCAGGTTCAGATCCTGGGCGCAGACCTACACACCGCTTATCAAGCCATGCTGTGGCAGGCATCCCACATAAAATAGAGGAAGATGGGCATGGATGTTAGCCCAGGGCCAATCTTCCCCAGCAAAAAGGGGAGGATTGGCAACAGATGTTAGCTCAAGGATAATCTTCCTCACAGGAAAAAAAAAATGAGTGGTCTAGGGAGGAAGGGTAGAAAACAAGATGTTTTCAGCAACTCAGATCTAGGGTAGTAAATTAAAGGAGTAAAATTCAAGCAGGAAAATGCTGCTCTCATCTGGTTTTCTCCTCCTGCCTAGATTCCTTACCCCTATCCTGCAAATACACACACACTATAGTTTGATACAGAGAGAAACTCCCAGTGAGGGCCTCATTTCTTGTAAAGTCACTACTAACAGTATTCAGCTCAGTGTCAACCTTCAGTCCTCAAATATATATTAGAACCCTGAGGGTGCCGGGCCCTGGTCCAGGTGTTGTGGGGATATAAAGAGGAATGAGACAGTTTCTGGAGTTTGGAGCCCTAGACAGACCTGACTCGGCATCTCTGTGCTCACAGTTCCTGGCTGTGAGCCCTTGAATACGCTAATTAACATTTCTAATAATAATAGTCTCCGTATATTGAGCCCATGCTGTGGGCTAGGCAGGCACTTTACAAATTCCATCTCTAATGCACATGACAGTTCTGGTAGATGCATGTTATTATCCCCATTTTATAGATTATGCAGCTGAGGCCCCTAACGAACTAAGATTCAAACCAAGTTCCCATGCTCTTTCCATGATGTCCTCCTGCTGTTTCAACCTCCCTTTTCTTTCCTGTGAAATGGAGTTAGATAATGCCATTCTCTAAAAGAATGAGATGGGGCCATATAGATATGTGCATGGTTCAGAATCAAGGACACACGTTTACACACTAAATGGTGGTTCTTATTATTAGGAAAGGAAGTGACACAGTGGCATTTTAGAGGTGCCTGAAGCACTACATGAGTTAAGACGAGGGAGCAAATCTTCCTAACTGGACAGGATCTGGTTTTGTGGTATTTGAGTGGGGCCTTGAAGAATGAAATGTGTGTGGGTATTTGGCAACAATAGGTCGGGGTGGAAGAGGTGAATTTTAAAGCACGAACACGGAAATTGTCATGGCCAGAGGTGTATCTTCAGTGATTTTTTTAAAGGCTCAGATTTTCAAATATTCTAAAAGAACTAGAAAATTCCAACTCCTGGCTTTTGAGAGAAAGAACAAATACACCATGGATTCTTCCAGATTAAATGGGATGATATTCACAGAGAAGGGTGACTGCCTGCTCCCTCTACTAAATAATACCCTAATTCTAGACAAGGAGGACAGAGACGGTGTAGCAAGACTTCTGAGAAGAAGTTATAGATGTTATTATAGAAGAGATGAGCCTGGAGAAACGAGAAATCTGGATATGAGACTTCCAGCCAGTCTCTAGTGCTTCCTCATCACCTTCCCCACCTGCCCCCAGACTATGCACCCTAGACAGGACCAGTCCTGAAAGTGAGCACATGCTGTCTGCTAGTCTGGTTCCAGTTGAATCATTAGCACTAATTATTTATAAATTTATAAATATAAAATTTTCTACTATAAAATAGTAGAAAACCTCATTTTATTACTTTCTTATAAAAATGAGTGGGGTTTTCTGCCACATCTCCCTGTTAGTAAACAGATGGATCTTAAATGTCGATGGGAAAGACAGAACTCTTGCAAACCACAGAGATGTTAAACATGACTCTGCTGTATAAAGCATACAACCTAAATTTACAGAAGAGCTGACTTTCATTTTTTAAGTGCAGTTTCTATTTAAAGTCTCCTCCGTAAAATATGGAAGAAGTCCTTTGTTAATCACTTCCATATTTTTTGAAGTAAAACGAAATAGACAAATACAAAGAGTAAATCCAACAAGACAGCTAGAGAAACAGTGAGAGGAAAGGGAAAAGGTAAGCTGTGACTTAAACAAAAATAAGCAAGTCAGTCTAAGACAACCAAAAAAAAAAAAAAAAAACATATGTGCAAGAACAGCCCTCCCCCTTCCAGAAACTCTCACAGCTTATTTTGCCATAGAGGAAGATAAATGTTACAATATCTCGCTAACCAATCAGCAACGCTGCAGGCCTCAAACCAGGAAACCCTTTAAAGTGTAGTATTTTAAACTGTGCAAGTGAGACTTCTGGTTCTCAGCTAGTTTTTGTTCCCTATGCTTGTAGGATGGCAAAGCAGATGTGAAGTCCCTCATGGCGAAGTTTAACACAGGGGCCAACCCGACAGAGGAGGTCTCGGTCAACAGACCCTTCAAAGTCACAGGGCAAAACTCACCATCAGGAGTACAAGCCAAAAAGAACTTATTCGACAACCAAGGAAATGCCAGCCCTCCTACAGGACCTAGCAACGTCCATAGGTTTGGGTCCCCAAAGCCACCTTTGGGAGTGAAACCTTCTTCTGAGGAAAAGCCTGACAAGGAACCCAAGCCCCCATTTCTAAAGCCGACTGGAGTGGGCCAAAGATTTGGATCACCGGCAAACTCAGCCAGCAGAGACCCTGAGCTGAAAGCAGGATTTCCGAAACCTGCAGGCCCCAAGCCCATCAACCTTCCCAAAGAAGATCCCAAACCTGTGTTTCCCTGGCCTCCTGGGAATAAACCTTCGCTTCACAGTGTAAACCAAGACCATGACTTAAAGCCACCAGGCCCGAAGCCCGGGTCTAATCCTCCAGCCCAGGAAAATGAACAGAGGCAAGTGTTCCCCAGGGTGGCTGGAGTCAAAGGCAAGTTTGTGTCAGCCTCACCGGATCATGACCCCAAGCTCCTCTTCCCCAAACCCATCATTGGCCAGAAGCCGTCTCTGAGTACCGAGGACTCCCAAGAAGACGAGAGCCCCACTAAGAATGCAGCTCCACAGAAAGGACCCCCGGCCCCACTAGGAGCCAAGTCCAAAACCGGCCCTTTAAAACCAGCAAGGGAAGACCCAGAAAATAAAGACCACGGAGGTGAGACATCAAGCTCGCCTTTTCCTGGAGTGGTTCTGAAATCTGCTGCAAGCAGAGGAGGCCCAGGCCTCTCCAAAAATGCTGAAGAAAGAAAAGAAGAGAGGAAGATAGATGCTGCTAAGAACATCTTCTTAAGCAAAATTAATCAGGAAGAGTCGACCTCTGGGGCCCCTCCTGCCAAGTTCCCTAAGACACCTTCTAAGCTGACCGTGGGAGGACCATGGGGCCAAAGTCAAGAAAAGGAAAAGGGAGAGAAGAATTCAGCCACCCCTAAGCAGAAGCCATTGCCTCCCTTGTTTACCTTGGGCCCACCTCCCCCAAAACCCAACAGACCACCAAATGTTGACCTGACGAAATTCCGAAAAGCCGCAACTGGAAACAGTAAGTTCTTTCCTCATTTGCTACTTAACGTGTTTTATTCCACAGCAGAAGGTGTTTTAGCTTCTGGGGAAAAGTTTGTAGCAAAGAATGGTTCCATCACTGGTACTCCTGTGTATGTAATGACTGTGGTATTTTTTTTTCATTCGTGTGGGAGGCTTGAGAAGGTAGAAATCCTGAGTTCTGTGTCAGAATTCCGTGAGAAAATGCCTTGGTGGGCTGGTTTTGGGGAGTGGGGGGAAATACATCCACCTGATCGTTAAGTGATTTTGCTTAATGATAACCTTTCATTTACTTCCTTCGTTGGGTTTCATTTCTGTTGAATGAGACTGAGGTGTGTCACCCCTTCTACCACAAAGGAGTTATACAGAAAGGTGAGGAAACTTCTAAGTCAGTGGTTCTCCAACCAGGGCAATTTTGATGCCCAGGGGACATGTGGCAGTGTCTGGAGGCACTTTTGATTGTCACAACTGGAGGGTGCTTCTGGCATCTAGTGGATAGAGGCCAGAGATGCTGCTAAAACATCCTCCAATGCACAGGACAGTGCCCACAAAAAGGATGACCCAGCCCCAAATATCAATAGTGTGGAGTGTGAGAAACCCTCCTCCAAGTGATTTGAAATGTCCATAATTTCATCATACGTTTCCTAAGCCCTATATTCAAGTAAACGATGAACAGGCTCTTGTGAAATGGCACTTTCTGTTTTATATTTTAGCTGTTTTCTATTTCTCAGTATAAAATTTTCTAAACTTTTCTGATTTATAAAGTAGTACATAGCTAGGATAATACACCAGACAAACGGGTACATTATTCTCCTTCAGGGTAAATAGTTTTTCTCCCAGAGATGTTACCACAATGCTATGGCACATGCTGTAGTTTGATACTGAATGACTTGGTAAAGTGTTGTAACTCTGCATTGTGATGAAAGAAGCTTACTTACGCCTGAAATGACTAATATTTTAGGCAAATAATATGCAACTGTTTATTGTGAGGAGGGAGAAAAAGATGCTTACAAGTGACCACACCATTATTAGACATTTTTTTTCTCCTTCCAAAAGTGTGGTCTAATTAAGGCAGTTCTAGGCATAACGGCCGTCTTTCTTTTTTGGCTCTGTAGAAACATCTTGCAATATGTCATCTTCCTGTGATCAATATTTTCAGTGTTGTTCAACCAATAGTGATCAAATCGCCTATTAATCTATCATGTAGAAAGCAAGTTTAGACCCCATGATCATCTATCTTCTAGAAAGATTCAGCCTTGTTACACCTGTTGTGTCTTCCTCATCTGTCTCCTTCTCATTTTAATACTGGTGGATCCATCACTCAGAAATGTTATTTTTGTGAGACCTTCTAAAAGATCCCTTCTTATTTCTCTTTCTTAGTTATTCTTTACCTCAGATAAAAAATTAACTATCATAACCTCTATTTTATGGCTCTGACTTCATGTCAAGGAGCTGTTCTGATGTTAAGCAGAAATCCTGGGGAGTCTTCTTCTACTTCCTCCATCTTTGTTTCCATTGCACTACCAGGTTGGTTGGTGGTAACCAATTGTCTGGTGTCATGCTACTGAAATGCTAATGAAGTCTTCTTTCTGGCACAACAGTCCTGGCAAAGGCCAGCACTGAGCTGATTTTCAGTGCAAGATAGTTCAAAGGAACCCAAGTAAGATTACTTAGTAAGCAGAGTTGATCCTTGCCCTCTTTCTCCTTCCCTTTGCAACCCATTCCCCACACCCCGACATGCCTCCCCACTGCTCAGGTGCCCCATGACACAGCTTAGATTCTAAATCCTCTCATCAATGTACCCCACTGATGATCCCTTGGTGTATATTATGCTCCAAAATAGACCCTGTTCTCTCTTCATCCACGTCTTCCACAAATCGGAACTCAATCCTTCTTAATTTAAACTGACCTCAGGTTGGTGTCAGGATAAAGCAAACTGACTCATAACTTTAAATTCTGAATAACACCCTTTAAAGCATACACATTTTTTCAAAGCATTTATATCTTTTTAACTTATTTTTTAAATAGAAATTACATCTGGCTCAAAAAACAGCAAGTATAAAATAGTATACAGTGAAAAGTCACCTTTGGTTCTTGTCTGCCATTTGCTGAGTCTTCCCAACCTCTGCCCCATAGAAACTATTCTTCTTAATTTCTATGTCCATTCAAAGTTTCTTTGTTTACACAAGCAAATATAAATATAGATACTAATCCCCCTGCTTTTTATTCAAGAAGTAGAATATTATATGCGATGTTCTGATCGTCACTATTTTAGAAAATAACAATAACAAATCCTATATATCTTTCTCCGTTTTAATAAGAGGTAATTGATTATTCTCTAGAGCTGCATAATATTTTGGTAAGCGGATGACTCACCTAATTTATTTAACAATTTGTATTGTTTCCAAACTCTTGCTGTTAGAAAAATGCTACAGAAAATAACCTTGTATATGTGTCATTAAAAAAAAAGCATTTATTTTCTAAACACAAAGAATTTCTTAATAGTCAGGTCTGCTGACTGGATCCCATGACTGCTATTTTTCCTAAACCATGCTAGAAATACACAGTAATTTAGCATTCCATTTAGGAAGGTTACAAATATACCGGAATTAGAAAGTATATAGTGTTCAAATTAACTAAAGCTTCATCTAATAACTCTGTAGGTTTTCAAAACTCAAAAACTATTTTCTTAGCCTTCCATTTGCTTCCTTTCTTTCCAAGTTCACATCCAATTTCTTAAACCTCGTCCCCAAATCTGCCCTCCATCTTTTATCACCTTTGTCCAATATATTAGCCATTAAAAATATTTAGCATTTATTAAGGATTTGTTAGATATCAGATACACATTACCCTGTTTATTCTTCCCAAGAACCCAATGAAATAAGAATTTTATGAGGAAATAAAGCTCAGAGAGGTTAGGTAGCTTGCCCAAGGCCGTAAAGTGACTAAGCAGGGGCAGAGCTGATCCTCATGTCTCTCTGATTCAGAACCCGTGTTCCCCACCACCCGCCTGATTTCCCTTGCTGGGCTGCCTCTCTTGAAACATAGGATATCATGAGATAATAAATCAAGCGTAAGTGAAACTCAAAGAATCCTCTCCCTTTCTCTGTTCTTTGGTTGAAACATCATTTTTTTTTTTTAAATTATAAACACCCCTGTAAGCTCCATGGAGACAGAGACCAGCTGGTTTACTATTATTTACATGGAGGACAGAAATAATATAAACTTGTTAGTTGCTCAGGTTTGTCCTCACACCAAAGTCTATTTAATCAGAATTTAGTATTAATTTATAGCTTAGCAATTACTTTAACAAATTGGATAACCCCTGCCAATAGACTTGCACTCAATTGAATGGAGCTTTGATGCAAATGAGTATTATATACAAGGTCTATATTGTATATCTATTCAGCTTACTTACTCATAAACCATAGGCTTGAATATAACATGTTGCTTTTCTGAATGTGGACCTAATAACTTTTTTCCAGAACCATTTAAAGTTACAGAAGCCTAGGGTAAAAAAAAATCCAAAATGTCAAAATGTTCTCTGAACTAACCTTTTCTCTGGTTCCTTTTGGTTCCCAGGCCAGTCATGAAAGGACTTCCTCCCAAGCATCATGGTGTATGCCTCACCAGCAAAGTTTGGGTTGCTAACAACCCCTGGCTTGACTGCTGCTTTTCATGTAGGAGTTAGTGAAACCTACTGGGAAATATTCCTTCCAACTCTTTTTGTAGTCTTCTTCTTAATACTGAGAGAAAGTAAGACTCATCTTTCCATATGTTAGTTTTAAGAAGGATCAGTCTTGACAACTGAGGGGGTAAGGCCAGGGTCCCAGAGGGTGTCAGCAAAGGGCTAATGGTCTGAGTGATCCCCTCCTTATCTGTTTATGTGTCACTTTGACTAATCCAGCCTATAGTAATTTGGAACCAAAAAGTGCTTGGGCTATTTTCACCAGCAAGTAACTCATTTCTGGGAGGGGGCAAGATTCTTCTTCACAGACCCTGAAGCTATCGCCTTTCTCTTTCCCTTTGCTCTCCTTTTACACGTACTCGCTTAAAATTACTTTCTCAGATATTTATATATCGAAAAATGTTTTATATCAGTGTGTGTTGCTCCTAGCTATTACAAGAAAAAGGGGTTCTGGGGCCAGCCCAATGACATAGTGGTTAAGTTCATGCACTCCACTTCAGATTGGGGGTTCCCGGGTTCAGATCCCGGGTGCGGACCTATATACCACTCATCAAGCCATGCTGTGGCAGCATCCCACATACAAAATAGAGGAATATTGGCACAGATGTTAGCTCAGGGCCAATCTTCCTCACCAAAAAAAAAAAGAAAAGTAAAGAAAAGAAAAAGAGGTTCTGTGCTCAAACACATTTAAGAAATTTGGGAGTGAGTGGATTCTTTACAGCAGGGTTTCTACCAGCATTGATATGCTACCATGTGCTTGGAATCTAAGAACGAGGTCCCTAAAAAGCAGACCCCAGGACACTTTTTCTAAAACATCTCACAGGCTGGGCTATTTCAGAACACTGAAAAGATGGAGACACAGCCCTATGGTGCACAGACTGGAAGTGGAAGTTCCTCAAAAGTGGGGCTCAGCTCCCAGTGGTAACAAGGCCGTCCACACCCTGTTCTGCTAATTCTCCAGGGGCCTGGTGTGCACTTTGTGGCTGGCGTCCTCTCTTATTTTTATCACCAGCCTGAGCCCAATCTATTTCACCTGCCCTCCTCAATCCCTGGGAAAGCAGTTTTCCACAAGACCTCTAGGTCTTCTTTCTATCCAGGTTGAAGCTTCTGAGGAACCACTCACTGTTAATTGAGTAGCCTACCTGGGTTTAACTCTAAACCAGAAATGCCTCTGAAAGAGCATCCTCTCTCTTAACCACACAAGGCCCCGTGTCAAATCTACGAGCTTCCTTCCTAGTCTTTGTCTTTCCTCTCTGAGTTCTAAACTTCTCTCTTCTGCTCTTCTTAGACAAACCAGCTCCTCAGTCTAAACC